TTCCACTCTCTCTGAAAAGCAATGGAAAAATATCCTCAGGTGAGGATTAAAAAAAGAAAAAAAGAAAGACCCCTCTTTCTTCAGTATTCTTCAGTATTCCTAAACAAAACATATAGAAACTCAGAGTAAAAAAAAAAAGTCTGTCATGAGGAATTGGGAGGGACTTTTAAAGGGTAGGTGAGTAAGGAGAAAGGAATATACTTGAAAATTCTAACAGGAAACTAAAAAGGTTATGGATCTTACTATAAATAACCCGTGACAACTGCTTTGGTTTATCTCACTTAAGCCCAGAATATTCCCTCTTGCCAAAACACTGTTTACCACCAGCTATATTTTTGAAGACTTAGAGCAGGTGTGAATTTGGCAATTTTTCCATAGGAGTAGACTGTTAGAAAGTTTCATATTTCCTCTTTAATCTCCACCATCACTGTATCTATCCTCTTTCGTTATCATCCATCTACTTTAATGCACAGGAAGCAGTTAGTCAATTTCAGACAGTGACATCTTTGTATTTCCCATGGATTTAATGGAATTGGTGTGGAAATACTAAGGTGCTGCTATATGGAATCAGAGTATTTTTTAATGTGATGTAGTGTATAGGGAAGTCCCTGATTCATGGAGAGAGGTGTTTTATATATAGAACATGAAATTAAAGCAGAGGAGGTCTTATTGGCTAGAAAGAATCTACACAAAATATGTGTAGGCATTTTCAGGAAAGATTCAGCTTTTAGGTCTGCAAGGTAGATAAAAGGGCCTTTCCTGTTACCCTTTGTCAGATTTTTGTTCCTTCCCTGGGGCAGAAGATGAGACAAGTTTGTACCTTAGGCTAGCTGCCAACCTGGACCTCTACCCCTAAGCCCTAGTCCCAGTACTCCTTAGTCATCCTCTGCTTCTGTCAGTTAGTAATAGAGGTCGTCACAAGGCATTGGTTACTAGTCCTTGACAAATGGGTCTTTATTTTAAATGTGATCTGGGTCCTGAGTATAGTTTATGGCCCTTCTTTTCTGTAAGGTATAGATCCAAACCACTTATTCCACCCTTACATTCCCTATTCCATCTCCACTTCTTTTATTCTCAGAAGATAAACCTTATCTGCATCTCTGTTGAGATCAGTGCTACCCACTTTTTATCCCTTTGTTGCCTTCTTACATGTAAAGTAGCTCATATCACACCCTACTTTCCAAAATAGAATGTATCCCTCTATTCATTCATCCTGCCCCATTCTTTCTGTCTTAGAGCAAGAAATGGTAGGTTAGCTTTCTTTTCAAGGCAGGGTGGGTCTGTTTCCTGGCTCTTGACATCTTGCCTCTTGGTGGTTTGTACTCTTTTGCATCTTCAATTTCTTTCCACTAGATTCTTCCACAAATATGTGTAGGCCTCTGTTTTATAACAAAACGAACATAAACCCTTTTATTGGTTCTGCTGTTTATTTAAATTATATCCCATTAAATCACCAGGCCAGTCCTTATCATCCATCCATTCAACCTTCCAAATCTTCCTTCCTTCCAAATCCTTCCTTCCAAATCCTCCCTTCCAAATCCTCCCTCCCT